CAGCTTTACTGTGGTGTGATTTATATCAGCTGTACTTCTATAGTTTTGCAATTTTTGAAACTTTAGGTTTCAAAAAGTCCAGCCCTCTGTACCAGTGCGCATGGAGTGAGTGCTCTGGCAGGGAAGGGTCATTGTTCAGCACCGCTGGATCCTGGCGGTGAGGAACAACTCGTGTTTGTTGCACAGTATGAACAGGATCTTCACGTTACTTTAAATGTAGAATGGAGGAGGGTTGGCTTTAGGATTGGAAAATATTTGTTATATCTAAAAACTATTCAGCCTTAAAGTTTGACTGTAATCTCACTTAAAATGTAAGTGAAAAAAAGAGAATTCTTAAGTGAGGGATGGAAAAAAGAGAGGCCAGTAGGAAGAGTTCCAAACTTCAAATACTTCCTTCTCGCTCTAATTTTCTTGGAGTGTTTTGGAGTTATTTTGACCCAAACTTGTGTGGTGGGATATACTCGTATGAAATACACTGCTAAAAACTAGAGGAAGAAAAAAAGTTTCTCAATGTATCTTGGCTGGTATTTGTTGGAATTTTTGGGTACGAGCTTTTGGGTAACAGTGGGATAGCTGTTAGTTTGTCTTAAAATCAGTGGAAGTATTTCGAGGACAATAAATATTTGCTTCTTAAATTAAGCCAGATGGATACCTTCGGTACTGAAGGGAGGTTGAAATCAGTATTGCTTGTATTTTTAACAGTAAAATATCTTACTGGTTATTGGTTTCTGTAATTTTTTTTTAAATAAACTACAATCTTTTGTGACCTTTCTTAGATCTAAAATAACCTTATATTACTCAGTTCTAAAACTTAACTAAAACTTATTTCATAGGGGTTTAAAGTTTCCTTATGAAGAGAAAGAGAAAGCTGCTCTCAGTGCGTGTAGTACTACCAGGCTACTGTGGTTTGAACCAAGATGTTGTGCTGGTTGCCTGCCTGGTTTTGAATCGTTTTGGTTGAAATTTTCCAAATACTGTTATGCCCAGGTAATTTAGAAGTGTTTTACTATTGCTCAGTTTCTCAAGGAAGAAAATTGAGTTTGACTGCACTGAGGATGTTCCAGTGCATAAGAGCTATGTGAAATTCAGCTGGACTTTTCATGCATTTGCAGTTCAGGACTGCTTTGGGATGAGGTAGATCTGGGAATAATAAGAAGGCTATGGGTTGGCAGCAGAGGGAGAGCTGGTATGAAGAAGTGTTTATTTGAAATATAAGTAGAGGATCTTTTTCAACTTGTGCTCTCATTTGCTTCTCTTTCTTTTCATAAAAAAGAGGGGAGATTGCCTGGACTAAGTGTAAGAGCAAGAAAGGCAGGGCCTGGCGCGGGGGGGTGGTAAATGGCAGCTTCTGACCAGCTGCCTCAAGACAAGATCTCGAGTTTGGAGTCAGGGAGCTGGGAAGCTGGATCCAGGCTGGGATTAGGAGCCACTGGGCAGAATGAAAGACCTGTTGGAGGTGAGAGGATGTATCTGAAGAGCAGGCAGAGCCAGGAGAACAGCAAGACTAATTGGACAAAGAATTAATACTGGGGACAATGCTTGAGACTGCGTTACACATTTGGGGGATAGGAGCGGAGAAACCTGCTTAGTTTGTAGCCTACGCCTGGATTTTGTAGCCTAGCACTAAAACTGAAGTTTAGGATTGGGGGGAAAGACTGATAAGGATCTGTTAGCTCGACCAGGGCAGGATACATTGAGTTTGGAAGAAGCAAGTAGAGGAGACTGTGGTCACTGCAGTGCCCTTTGGTGCTTGGAAACAAGCCGAGCCGTATCATTACTGCTGCCAGTTCTTCAGCTCGGGTAGCAAATATGTGATACTTATGCTTTATTAGCCCAGGTTTCAGTTAGTTTCCGCATAATTTGTTCTTTGCTGGCTTTTTCAGAAATAACTTGCGTGTAGGCATATATTGTGACTGGAGAAAAATTCTGGGAGAATTTCAGAGCTTCCAAGTCAAGCTCTCCAAAAATAGGAAAAAGCAGGTTGTCTGAGATGGCTTTCTCTCTGCAAGTGTGATGTGCTCATGTGACTACATGCTGTAAATAAGTTGCAAGATAAAAACCATCTTATGTGAAACTGCCCTGGTGAGCTGTTTTCTCCCCTGCCTCTGTTGCAGTGATCTGATTCACTAGAATCCTCTTTTGGGTTGGAAGGGACATTATACATCATCTCGTTCCAGCCCCTCTGCCATGGGCAGGGACACCTTGCACTAGACCAGGTTGCTCAGAGCCTCATCCAACCTGGCCTTGAACACTTCTAGGGAGGGGGCAGCCACAGCTTCTCTGGGCAACCTGTGCCAGTGCCTCACCACCCTCACAGTAAAGAATTTCTTCCTAATATCTAATCTAAATCTCTCCTATTCCAGTTTAAAGCCATTACCCTGTGTCCTATTGCTACTCGCCCTTGTCAAAAGTCCCTCTCCAGCTTTCTTGTAAGCACCTTCAGGTAGTGGAAGGCTGCTGTAAGGTCTCCCTGGAGCCTTCTCTTCTGCAGGCTGAACAGCCCCAACTCTCCCAGCCTTTCCTCACAGGAGAGGTGCTCCAGCACTCTGATGATTTCTGTGCCCTCCTCTGGCCCCGCTCCAACAGGTCCATGTCTGTCCTGTTCTCGGGGCTCCGGACCTGGACACAGGACTCCTGGGGGGGGTCTCACCAGACCAGAGTGGCAGAATCCCCTCCCTCGCCCTGCTGCCCACGCTGCTGGGGATGCAGTTTAGGGCACGGTTGGCCTTCTGGGCTGTGAGTGTACATTGCCAGATCATGCGGAGCTTCTCGTCAACCAGCACCCCGAAGTTCTTCTCAGAGCTGCTCTCGGTTGTGCTGCCCAGCCTGTATTTGTGCTTGGGATTGCTCCAACCCCTCAACCTGATGCGTTACCCAGTGATAACTGAATAACTAAATATAAGTTGGTTTGCTGGGTGCCTCCCTCGAGGCTGTGCGGCTTCCAGAAGCGTGGTGTGTTCCCCAGGGTGACCGATGGCTCTAAGAGCAACGCTTTGAGGAGTATGTTTTTATCACCAAGGCTTCCAAGATGAGGGAATGCATTTAACCTTAGTTTGAAAGTACGTCTGGCAGCTCCTGTGTGCGGTGAACGGTAGAGGTGTGTTTTGGGAGTGAAGGGTCAGGATGCTCAAGGTTTGTGTGCAGTTGCTCGTTTGGCAGGCAGCCAGCGCTGTCCTGCTCAACAGGAGGGAAAGGCAGTGCCGTTGCACAGCCCGCTTCAGCTAAACCGGAATGGATTTTGATGGGCCAAATAAATGTCGCCTTCTCCCTCCCAAATAACTCTCTCTTCCTCCAGCTGCTGCTTTTTGCAGGCGGCCTGTGAAATTGAGGCGTTAGTCTCTTCTGAGGTGGCAAGAATATTTTGCATTGATAACTGTTCACTTGTGGAAGTGTAGCAGCTCCTCCTACAAACAGTGTGTATGTTATGAGGACTGCCATGCTTGAGTGTAATATAATGTATTTCCACTAAATGAAATACCCACAGGAGACTGGCTCACTAGGAGTACTGGCAAGGGCATATAGACCCTTTAATCTCTAGGAATGATAAAGTATTTACAGTTGATGGCTGTATAATGGCGTAAAATAAGTAGTGACAGTCTTGCTTCCAATTGAGAGGTCTTAGTATCTTGCATATCCCTGTTAAGGTGTTTCCAAGAAGGCCACAGATTTAACAGTGGCTGCGATCCTCAGTGTCCCTCTCATCTTCTTGTTTGGTCCTTGCCAGTCCCAGATGTATTGTGCTGGTAGAAGGGTGTGAAGCAGCTTTGTCTTGTGCTACTTCGGTAGTGAGTAGACTTCAGTTTCCAGGGCAGATACCCGTTTTTGCTGTGTGAGAAAATCTTTTCCTAAAATGCTAGTGTTTTGGCAGTACAAATAGGATAGAGTGAGACTGCGCATGCTGTTATTGAGCGGCACTCACCAGATAAATGGTAAGACACTGCAGCTCAGTTGTTTGGTCTTTTGCTGGTGACTGTATTTCAGTCTAGCAGAGAGTGTGTGGTCTGAAATCTGTTTTGGGAGGCTTGTCTTCAGCAATGGCAAGTTTTAAGCTTTAAGGCGAGCATCAAATGTAGAGGGAACAGATGCCACAACTGATGTCAGAATCTGTATAAAGAGGAAAACAGGGATGTTGTTAGATTATTTTAATTACTTATTTGATTTGCTGACACGTAATAAGGAAATGTTTGTTAATATGATTTATGTGAGGCATGGCTTCTTCCAGTTACAAGAGGTTGCCAACATATTTTGTCAACTTTTGATATTAAAAAAAAATACAGTAGTGTGAATTAGTCAATGAAGTGTGGCTTTGCAAAGTTCTGCTTTTGAATTAACATCTTGCTTTCTGCAATATGTGAAGGCTCACTTTACATTTAAAAAAAAATTACTGGAGGAAAGATAATATTGCACTCTCTCTTATAATGCTTCAGATGCTAAGTTGTGAATAGATAGACATGTTACTCCTGTTAGTTCCTTTGAAAGATGATTTCTTTAATTTTCTGGATGCCATAAATTGTCTCCACCTCCTTTTTTTAAGTAAAGCTGCTTCACTTTTGTAGCTTACATTGTACTAAATTAATGGCAAAGAACAGCATGTTTTAAGAAGATAAATGTGAGGAATGTCTGACAAAGTAGACGTTCAGATTTTTTTTGATTAGTGCAAAAGAAGGTCAATAATTGCATGGATTTCAATAAGCTTGAGCAGAA